GGCTCAATAGGAATTCCTCTTGAACTGGATGCTGAGTCTTCCTTTGACAAATCTCGTTCCAAAGCAGCTTCTTTTTTCAGCTTAATTGGCATTGACACACGATGCAACGAAGAATTGAATGATTGTGCAAATTCCCAGTACACGTACTTGACTTTGAATGTCAAAAAGGTTACCCGAACCTCAGTAAGTCGCGTAGCGGTCAAAAGGGTCACCTTCACTGGCTGACTTGTAGCCGCTCTCGATATCTGCACGTAGTTTTTGCGATAGTTTTACTTTGTCGCTTGCCAAGTCACGCGTTGTTGAAACAAACTGTAATGTGATGGGGATGATCCCATCCTCGTCGCCATTAATAAATCCGTCAGATTTATACAATTAATGTTTCAACTTAACTTAATGCAACTTTATTTCAATTAATAGCAAACTACACAATGTATTGATTTCAGCTTAATGCTGTCAAAAGACAAGAACGAAGTGCCAGTCCTCTCACCAGAAAAACTGTCAGCAACCCCCGTATGTCATGTTGTAGCTGTACGAATAACGTGGGAAGACAGACTAGCAGAAATCGTACGACAATACCAAACAGGGTGCTTAATATTTGACAACTTCCATTTTTAGTTTTAATTGGGGTTTATTCATTGTGGTCTGTATTTCCTTTAATTTATTTGCAGCCACTATACTTCTATGAAAATATTCTACAATTGAACGACATTTATCTCGCAAAACGTCAACGTTACTCTCCTTGAAGGAATCGCAGATAATTGGGTGGAGCGTGTGGGCAAGGCAGGGTATGCTCCGCCACCCGGTAAGTCTAATGGCAGCAATGACATTAGCTGCGTTATCGGACGCAACTGCGCAAATTTTCTGACTGATATTCCAATCAGTTACTGAACCTATTAAAACATTTCGCAAATTAATGGCAGTGTGGCGTTCATTCATTCTAAAACAATTTAAAACCAAACTTTTTTGCTGCCAAATGTTGGATATAAAATGAGCTGTAAGCGATACAAAACTTTCACTTGTTAAAGATGTGCATGCATCTGTGGTGAGGCATACGAAATTGGCTTCTGACAAAATTTGCTTCACCTCATTTACGCGCTCTTCATAAACTTGTGGCAACAGTTTCTTCGTTAAAAATGTGCGAG